TTAACACTCTAATCTAAACCGCATTTAGAAGGTTACATTAATACGTGAACTTAATCCCCAGTATTGCTATCGCCCCACAACCTGAACCTTATCGAGTTCTTTGACCTACGATACCTGCTAAGTTACTAGTATAACGACGGGATGAATGGATATGGGGAAGAATAGTAATTTGACAATACCACATCGAATCGTAGACCCTTAAGGGCTAGATCGCACGACAAAATATCTCCCGGACGAAGTCCTACATGATCCGAACCTATCACGCATCCATCTTCCATATTGTTCTTGTTTAACTTAATCAACGCTTCTAACAATGACCGAACCTTCACACGTCAATCAGCGGCGAGATAAGAGCTCAAGTCGCTCTTGGTTAATACACATCGCAATTGTAATTGGCCTTGTTTCAGCGTTTATCGCACTCTTCAAAAATCCCATTCAGTCGTCTAGCTCACCCAAGCTGGACACGTACGGGCTTGGACCAGGGTCCGGGATATGCCAGCAAGTGCCGAAGCTGTCTCCAAGGAATACCCAGGTCGAACAGTATATTCGCGAGAAAGTCGACTCTGTGGAATACCACCGAGAAATCATCAACAAGCTCTCTGGAATAATTCAGATCCCAGCTGAGAGCTATGACGACTTGGGGCCCATTGGCGAAGACGACAGATGGGATATATTTTTTCAAGTGGAAAACTATATCAAAGTCAGCTATCCCACAGTGTTTCGAACTGTGAAGCTGGATCACGTCAACACACACGGGTTGATCCTGACGTGGGAAGGCAGCGTCTCCCCCTTGGAGGCTAAGCCTATTCTCATGCTCGCGCATCAAGACGTAGTCCCAGTGCTTGCGGAGAACGTCAAGGATTGGGCTCATCCGCCCTATGACGGCCACTACGATGGTGAAATTATCTGGGGTCGTGGGGCCACCGACGACAAAGGCTACCTGATATCTATCATTGAGAGCTTGGACCTTTTGATCAAGAGTGGTTTCGAACCGAAAAGAACGGTAATTCTGGCGTTTGGCTGTGACGAAGAGATTAGTGGCGAGAATTGCGGAAGGCCTATCTCGAATTTCCTTCGTGAGCAGTATGGGGAGGACGGGATCTACTTGATCATGGACGAGGGTTGCACGGGTATCCAGAGAGAATTCGACCAGACTTTTGCCATGGTCAGCGTCGCAGAAAAGGGCTACCTGGACGTCGGGATCAATGTCTCGTCAACTGGTGGGCATGCGAGTAACCCGCCGGATCATAATGTCATTGGTATCCTGTCAGAAATCGTGGTCGCAATTGAGAGCAACCCGTTCCCTGGAAAAGTCACTCCGAAGAATCCAATGTTTCAATTCCTAGAGTGTGGCGCCGTCCATGCTCCCGTGTCGAGCTTTCCGATGGCAGTTCGTCGCAAGTTGAGCATGGCCACCCAAGACGACAGTATCAGCCAGGAGCAACTGGCCCAGACACTGGATGATATGAGGTATTATTTTCAGACAAGCCAGTCTGTTGGAAAGATTAACGGTGGCGTCAAGATCAATGCCATCCCCGAAACAGCCTCTACGTTGGTCAACCTGCGCCTGGCCGTCGAAACCTCTATTGCTCAGGTTGAGGCGCACTACGAGTCTCTTATCAGTCCAATTGCTAAAAAGCACGGAATGGTATTTGAAGGGTTTCATTCCCCATGTAGCGCTTCGGAGAAACGGAAAATTTGCCTCTTTGGAGTGGACGCCTTAGAGCCAGCTCCCGTTTCTCCAGTTGATACTGAGTCCTTCCGCATCTTGTCTGGCACCATCAAGAATGTTCTCAAGCCACTGGACGCGGATGATGAGGTTATCGTCACACCATACCTGATGCCAGCCAACACAGACACTAAATTCTTTTGGGCCTTGACCAAGAACATCTACAGGTTCACCCCTGTGACTCTGGTGGAAAACCTTAACCGGGCGCATACGACGAATGAGTTTATTCGTGCTGATGAATTCGTACGAGAGCCTCTCTTTTTCGCGAGTTTGGTTTTGAATGCCGATGATGTTGTGGTTTAGTGAAAGTGTGAAATATGAAGTGCATCTCGTACGACTTTACATAGTAGAAAGGTGAGAAAAGGGCTAGCCTTACTACTCAATGCTTCAGTAGCACATAACTGTATAAAATAGGCGGCCTTCTAGCACTGTCTATAGTTCCATCCATACCCTACAAGATTGAAAACTTTCTGCAGAACCGGCTTCGGCAAATCAATTCAAACGAACTCGTTCTTATAGCGGAAGTGGTACCTAGTTATAATATAGAGAATAGAATAACCAATGGAAAGAGTCACTCCAATCCAATCTGTGCTCTCAAGAATTGAAATCCAAACTACTCGAACCAGCTATTGAGCCAACCCGAAACCTTGCCTCTCGTCGGCGGCTCGTACAATGCCTCGTAGAGGTCAATCTGGGCTTTTATGCCTCCAAGTTGAAGATCGGCCTCTCCCGGCCGAACATAGCGTGTCCGCTTGAAGAGCTTCCAGAACACAAAAGCCACGATGGAAAACCCAATCATCAGATAAGAGGTAAAGAACGTCGAGATGTCCCAATGGCCATCAATGAAGACGGTATACCCGAGGATCAAGGCCACAACGAATGTCATTACCGCGGCATAGTACGCCGCATAGGGCTGAAAGTATCCCCGGTATGGCAAAGTCTTTCGGTCAATACCCTGGCGTTTGAGAGCGGCGTAGAAATGCAGGTACGTCACGACTGTGGCGAAGTAGTTGATCATGTATGATGCAGTGCAGATTCCCACCAGCCAGTCGAGGACAGTAGCAGAGGAATTGCCAAGCTGCAGCAAGGAAAGAAGGCAGAACGCAAGCGCCGCGATGACTGAGTAGACCGGGATACCGAACCTGTTGCACTTGGCAAATATTGCGGGCGCCTTGCCATCCGCCGCTAGGCCGTGAAGTGTACGGATCGCCGAATAAACAACGTTGTTTCCACAAGAAAGAACAGAGGTCATGATCAGAGCGTTGACCAGCGAGGGAAGTCCTTTGATTCCAAAGTTGACCATTGAAATGACATAAGGAGAACTAGAGCATGGGTAAGCTGTGTGTTGAGGGCTTGTACTGGGATGGGGAAGGGGGCTCACGCAGCTCCAGTGCCGCCCTCAGTTCCATTGATATATTTAAGCAAAAGCGGGTCATTGTAAGGAATGACAATCCCGACGCAGAGAGCGCCGCCAATGAAGAAAATGAGGAGACGCCAGACAAAAGAGGAGAAAGCCCGATGCATCAATTTACGAGGGTTCTCTGCCTCGCCAGCTGTCATGGCGATGAACTCGGGACCGACCATACTGCATGATTGATACCATCAGCCATACTGTCAGGAAAGCGGGATATATAGCGGATACTCACGTGAAGGAGCCCTGAATGATGCAAGAAACAAATCCGAGAAAGCGTCCGGTGTTTCCAGGAGCGAGGTACTCGACAAACGCGCCCTTTAAACAGGATTATTAGCAAAACAGCGTGAAATGGCTAGCTTCGACTTACGGGGGATTTCCAATAGGTAAACCCATAGGCCCAGTGCTCAGGATTGCCACCAACCATGGTGACAAAAGTGTAGCAAATGAGTCCCATCATAAGGAAGACCTTGAACATGGCCAGGTAAAATTCAGCGGTTCCAAAGTACCGGACTGCGAGCCCGTTGAGCCCACTGCAACACCCAAATTAGTTTGTTTGCCATATCACTGTGATTGGGGTAGGTGACGTACGCATAAATCACCAAGCAAATCATCACAACCGCGACCACCGGAACTTTGTCGGTCCAGTAGGTAAGAAGAACATTGATCGCCGTTATTTCATACGGGATGGCAAAGGCTGGGTGTATGGAATTCAGTCAGAGGGGGAAAAAATACAGAGGCCCCAGGGACTGGCACGTACCCATAAGGAAGAAGTAGTTCCAGCCCATCGCAAAGCCCCAGGCGTCATCCACCCAAAATCCACCCAGACGGATGAAGGGGGAAGCGATCGGGAGATAGGTAACCATTTCGGCTGCACAAGACGGCCGTATCAGCGTGCGCTGTGCTTATAGAATAGAAAACGGGAGGGCTCACCGAAGCATTGGTTGACACACCAGATGACGGTTCCATAAATAACAAAGCCCAAGAAAAGCCCCGCCGGGCCACCCTTTGGTAGACTTGCGCCCATCTGTACGAATAGAGCTATGAAACTAAGTAAGCCAATTGTGTTGTTTTTTTAAAGGATAAAGCTCACTTACATGTTCCAATAGCGCCGCCCACCGCCAACAGCTGGATTTCCTTTCCACCTAGTTGCCGTTGGAGGTGTTCCGAGCCAGCGGAGATGAGCTCAGAGGTCAAGGCCTGCTCGCTGTCATTCTTTTCATGCAGGCTATGATCGAGGCTGTTCATTGCCTTGGGGATGTCTTTGCGTTCATCCACCCCTGGAGAGGGTGTGGCGGCCTCCATGACAGTCGAAGTGCGTCAAGACAAAGACAAAAGAGGGTAAGATGGTTAAGTTAGTGGAAGGAGAAGAAAAGGAGGAATTGTTGTTTGGTGAAGATCTGAAATTGAATAGAAAATGTTGGAGTTATTAACTTCATGCAAGATCGAAAAGCGAAGGAGCAACTTTCCTGATACGCCGCTACACGCCTCCCTCCTGCATCTCGAAGATCCCCGTGCTCTGAACCCGAACTTGGCTCTTATCGCCCCACCTCCCCGAACCCAGTCATCTTCTTTCATGAGCGCCTCTTCAGTTTTGACTCCCTTTTTTCCCATGTTGGGAACTGACAGTCGGTGGCGTAACCGACTACACAATAGTACGGCCTGTCAGATAATGTATTTCGGGTATTTGGTTATTCATTGCCTTTCCCGCGGAGAACATGCGTACCAGCGCTCTGGTTCATGTTCATGTTCATATAGGGCTACGGCTGTCAAAATGATACTGTTGGTATATTATTATCTTATTATTCTTCAAGATACCGCTGTGTCTCCAGTCCCATCAAAACACGAGGTTTTGTCCAAATGGCTCAACTATCCCCCGCCCATTCAAGGGCATCGCTCCCCAAGCAACTGGCCAATTTCACCAAGTCCACAGCCGGCCTGGACTTGACCCTCCGCCTGCTCCATAGCCTGGCCCTTATCGGGACTGAAGTTGATTTCGATAGTGCCACTGCTATGAGATGCTCAGTTGCGGCATCGCAGATAGGGCTAGGTGAGGTTTTGTTACGGTTTCTTCAGTGACATTCCCGTACTGATTTCCCTTCAGCGAGGCACTATCTCCGCTTCTTCTCTTTTCTCGATTGTTTCCAGAATGTTCAAGACATTCTTGCCGCAGGGTGTTCTGTTAGAAACAGGACAGCGATGATGGAGCTGGTCGAATCCAGCTGTTTGGGGATGTATCTTGTTCTGGAGGGAACCACCATGGTGAGTGCCCCCACATTCAATTCGTCCGTGATTATAGCACAGTGTTAAATATAAAGCGCAGCTACATGACATGAATATTTTCTTGGTGTCGTGGTACACGCCCATTCTGCTCGAAGCCTACAAGTTCTGGTTCTATGCTATCTGCATAGCAATTGCTAAAACCGTCTCGGATCTCGTCTTTGGCCCGGCGGCGCCCAGCGCTCCAAACGGCTCCGTGGATGAGAAAACGAAAGTGGAGGCATCTGGTAACTCCTCACTCTCGAAACCGGCCCCATTGGCTGTATGTCTCTTGCACCGGCTTGTAATTGACTGTTTGGACCTGACTATTCCCGGGTATTTACTGGGATGGATGCCCGTGAGCAATATGGGGGTTGCCATCGCCATGCTGGCAAGCACTATACTTGTCTGGCCAACTGCCTGGGCGAAAGCGCAACAGTAGATTGTGGTTGTTGAGATAAAGAAGAGGATCGACGCGATGGGATATTCTAGCCCTGAATGAGATGAAATTGGAGACTTGGAATTGGATTACTCCCTGAATGGAAGAGTACTTTAGACCCTCCATCACAATGGCTAATTTCAAGACAAGAATAGTATACGTTAGCCTTTTCAGGCAATACTAGAGTGCCTTGCCGTACTGATGTGCTTGTGGGTACGTCCAGGTTCGGTACTGGCGATGCTTAGGTAAATGGATGACTGCTGTCCATGGAGGAACAAGATGGCAGGTGAAAGCTTTTGACTGGCCACGGAAGTCGACAGTTTCGGTCCGCCTGGACCTGGTGGACCCATGTGGTTGTGGGGCTACCCCGCATTACTAGAGCCCGACTTTAAGGACTACTCTGCTGTAAGTAGTAAGTAGTAACTGGACTGCTTAAGACCACAGGGCTTGGAGGATGGAATATGATTGTTGTTAAATAGGGCGAGAAGGCAGTGACCTCCCTTGGGCTACAGTGACCGTCACTGACGTGGATTTTGAGGAAGCATGTTTAGCTCTTCAGTGGCCGATTGGCTGGACTCTTCTATTGATAAGATAGCTTCAACTACAGTGTTTTGCTGGAATCAGAGGTGGGTCTGCTCACTAGATGACCTTAGGACAGTGGACGACGCTAACTAATCCATGCCGGTCGCCACGGTCCCCTCTCTTTCGCGCCTGTGCATGATTTCCTCCTCCCGCAACCAACCATCCACTGCTGCGATATGCGCGTGACAAAGGGCTGTGCTCGCTGTCGCCATCGTCACGTCCGCTGTGTAGTGCCCGTCGGCGCCTCGTCATGCTCTCGCTGTACGCGCCTGGACCGGCCATGTCATCTCGAGCCGCGCTTTCAGTTCAAGCCTGTGCGCCATATATACCAGCAGTGTGATAGTGCTCCGGTCCGCTTCGACCTCGCGTGGGATGAACAGCAGGTCTGGGTGGGGGTCTCCCAGCCAGGTAAGCCCCCCTTCTAGTGGGATGACTAGCTTTCCTAGTGACAAAAAGCCCCTCCAGTGACTTTCGTGCGCGAGACCGACGACTTCTCGCCCTCTGAGCCCCACGACAAGGACCGAGGCCTTGAGCAGCCATATCCACCACCAGACGAAAGTCAACCGACGCTTCCAGAAGCGGCTGAATCTGTTCCGACCGATGTCCTTTCGAACGATTCTCCCAGTCACACACCAAGCGATGTCTGGGTACCGTCCCCGCGAGAGGCATACTTGATTCGTTCCTATATTCAAAAGATAGCAGCTGTGGTGAGTTTTCTACCAACAACTGACATGGAGAGTGCCCTAACGGCAGCAGGCGGATATCTGTGACCCCCAGTCTCACTTCAGCACCGAAGTCCCACGCCGAGCACTAGAGGAACCAATGCTGCTGAAAGCTCTCCTGGCACTTGCTGCCCGACATGATGCCATCTTGACAAATCGTAGCGACTGTGAAGCGTCAGCCTTTCACGGGGAGTGTCTGGAACTGCTCATCGTCGCCCTGAATCAGCCAGAGAATTATGACGATAATCTCTTCATCACCGTGGTTGTACTTCGTTTCTACGAAGAGCTCGAGAGGACGACCGACAGCAAATGCCACCTCCTCGGGTCCAACCGCCTGCTCAATCTCATGTCTCAGTCTGCGTCGTGCGGGGGATTGGCCGAGGCAGTGAGCTGGCAATTCCTGCGCCAAGCCATCTACTCATCCATAGCTCAGTATGAGCCAATACAACTGGATCTGCGGAATTATGAGCGTTCCTCGGTCTTCCATCGCGATGATGATGCGGCCCGCGCCAACGTCATCATTTTTTTCTGCGCATGCATCACCCAGCTATGCTGCGCCGCGCCGGGGTACGCCATTGACCGGAAAAGCTGGCAGCGACTGGCAGACTGCGTGGAGGAGTGGCATCGCAATAAGCCGAAGTCCTGGCAACCACTGCGATATCAACCCCCCAATCTGTCAAAGGATCGACCCTTTCCTGAATTATGGATCATGTCGCCCCCCGCCGGTCTGTCTTGCTTGCACTTTACCTAATGCAATGCAACGCTAACAAATTCTTTTCCAGTGGTTGGTTTGCAATATTACCACGCCACTAGGATATTTCTCACATTATCCGATGCGCCGTCCCAGCGGATGACGGATTATGAAATGGCGCGAGCCCGACACGTCGCAGCAGTCTGTTCCGGCCCACCTCCCTGGCATGTTCCATCGCTAATATCCGAAATAGAAAACGGTTGCCAACCATCTCGTGATGGCCATTGGACTTTCGTTATCGAATGAAAGTGTTCAAAGCAGCTACTTCATCGCCTCGCACTTGCTCCAACGCTGTAAGTCCTTTACCCGATGGAACACTTGGGGCTTTCTGACCCATATCCAGTTGGATATTGCTTGCGGCAACCCGCTGAGCAGCAGGGATCACTACGGTTTCTGTCTCGTGTAGAGAAAAACCTCGGGTGGCGCACGTCCTGGATCGGACGGGAACTGGAGCGCCAATGGATGGAGCAGGCGGCTTTGGATTTCGCGGCCGATTGAAAGTTCATTTTGGCCACAATCGCGCTTCTACCGCAGAAAACGGTCACGCACGACCAGCCCACAATCAATTAGGGGCCTGGTGCACTGACCCTGGTCCAGGAGTTTCACAATTTCGGTGTTAAGCGGGTGCAGAGCTCTCACTAGCGGCCGACGATTGTTAGGAAAAGGCACCCAGAGAGCATTTCATGAATGGATGCCCAAGAACCAAAATGGTTGCAAACGCACTTGGAGTGGCCATGCACCATTCCGTTCATATCCCTCGGTTCTAAACCGGAACCTTTACTTTTACTAGATCTTTGAGCACTCATTGATGTGTCAGGGATCCACTCTCTAGCAATCTGTCGGCTAGCCTCCGCGTCTCTCTTTCTTCTTAGTCTGGTGGAAGGGTCTCTCATTCCGTTCCAGCTCTGGATGAAGCTGCGCTTCAGTGATCTCTTCGGGACTGTCAGTCCGGTACCGCCCATGACGAGTGCAGATTGGTACCTTAATGTTGTGGTTCAACTTGTCTGCTACCCGTAATGGACTCTGCAAGAATTACACATATTGCTCAGACTATCCCAGCTTTTGTGTATCCCCTAACTTTACTTAATAGGACTTCCACTCCTTGGGATTCGAGACGACAACTATGGTTGTACTTAATGATGGCCCCGGGATGGGGCTTTCGTCTAGTTAACCGTCTGCCCGCTAGATTAGTAAATTCTCTAACTTAACTATGGTTTTCGGTTGATTACATATGGCGAAGACGCTAAGCAAGTTGGAGCAGTAGCTAGCATGAATTCCAGGAACCGTCCAAGGGCAAATTTTCAGTATCTACACTAATGATGTGATGATTATCGATCGACCGTCCCACTCTCGAGGGTTTAACTGAGCTCTGAATACCAATCATCATGAAAGTCAGTAAATCAAGGTACGACGTTAATACCGGCAAGTTCATCGGCGAGCAAAGTGCCGGGTGATGGGATACCAGTGGGATACCGGTGGGATACCGATAAGTGGGATACTGTTAACAGACCATCAGAGGCTTTGCAGGGCAGGCATTCGTTGGCATTCTTTAGCTGATGAGTCATGATGTAATGAACTGATTAATCCAACTATTATCAAAACTTTTCCATATATTTAAAGAGAGAGAACGATGGTTCATTCAACATTTACGCCTCAACTATACTTGATCGATCGCCATGGTCCCAATCCGCATTGGCATAATTGGTCTTTCACCTGGTGCTTGGGCTGCTAATGCTCATCTACCCTATCTGCAAAGCCCCGAATCAAAGTTCAAAATCGTGGCTGTTTGTAATTCATCTGTGGAAAGTGCTGCGAAGAGCGTCAAAGAACTCAAGCTTCCAGGAGGAGTGAGGACGTATGGAAATGTGCAAGGTAAGTAACAAACTTTACCCCCCTGTGCATTACCCCAAGTATAGTCAACATACCTGACTCCCATGACCAGATATCGCCGACGACAAAGACATTGACCTTGTTGTTTGCGCTACCCGAGTAGATCGCCATTACAAGTCTATTCTTCCTTCACTGAAAGCTGGCAAGGATGTCTTTGTCGAGTGGCCCCTTGGGGCAAGCCTTAAGGAAGCAAAGGAGCTTCTCGATGTCGCAAAAGAAAACAATGTCAAGTTCACTGCAGTTGGACTTCAAGGCCGTTTTGACGCTGTTGTCGAAACTTTGAAAGGAGTCTTGACAGAAGGAAGAATTGGCAAAGTCCTAAGCACTACAATCACCAGCCAAGGCCTGATTGCAGGACAGACGGAGCTTGAGAGTCAAACTTACCTGGTTGACCGTGAAAGTGGTGCTCCTTACTCTCAATTCCGGCCTTACATTTGCTCGACACCGTTCAGGAAGGTTTGTCTTAGGCCCTACACTCTAGGAAAATTGTCATAAGCTGCTGATCAACCACAGTGCTTGGAGAATTCTCGAACTTCCAATCCCTCCTTTCAAACCAACGACCAGTCATTAAAATTGTTAAAGCCGATGGCTCCGTGGCCAAAGAGAACGTCGAGAAGACGACTCCAGATCATGTTATGATCCAGGGTTCGCTCAAGTCAAGTGCTGTATTTTCGGCTATGATTAGAGGTGGATCACCATTCAAGGGATCCCCTGGACTCGAGTGGAGAATCTATGGCGAGAAAGGGGAGATCAAAATTACAGGCCCCAGTGCCTTCATCGAGATTGTTGGTACAAACAGCATTCAGCTTCACGACTTTGCCACCGACGAAATTGTGGAAATTGTGCTCAAGAACGGGGCTTTTGCCGAGATGGATCCGATAAATAGGAATTTGGCCCGTGTTTATGAGGCAATTGCTGCAGGTGACAAGAGTCTTCTTTGTGATTTTGAGGATGCTGTGAAAAGACATCATTTTATTGAGGAGATTTACAATCAAAACTCCAAGGCCTAAGTAAAATACTTTGTGAACCTATTTGTTAAGACTTTTACAATATCAAATTTGTTGTCTAGATCTAAGACTTGGGTAGAAGTGGGGAGGCAGCCTAAGCAGGCTGTATCATCAGCCTTTTGATGCTTTCACCGACTGTCTTCATCGTGCTGCGAAGACTTTCTCCATTAAGCCGTAATATAAGCTGTGGGACTTACCAACTTACCTACTACATATTGGATGGCCGAAGCCGCTGAACGTGCAAGAATCTTTCCCCATCCATTTTCTGTCTGCGTCGTAACACTGCCTCCATTTTGATTAGCGCTCGCATGCGGACTAATGCACAAGCGATCACAACTGAACAACTTTCGACACATGTGCCCGTCGAAGCGCCCGAGAATCCTGCCAACTAACCAGGCATATTATCCATCCGTCTCGATGCTTCTAACTGTGCTCTCTAAACTACAAGCAATCTTGTTTGGTTGACAAAAATTTTAGGCGTATAGGTCTTCGAATGTTCCCTCCATTCACGCGAGGGCTAGCAAGCGGCCCACATTCATTGCATCTAACTCGACTAGGCATATTTTGGCTTATGGTCTTGAGAGCGGGTATCAGGGGCGCATCCGACTCTATGTAAGATGTAATCCGTGCGCTGGCAGTAACAAGGGTCAGGGGCCATTGCCAGTGACGCTTGAACACGTGCTAGGATTGCGTAAGTAGTCAGCTCGCTGGGTAGCCATGCATCACTAGATAATGCTGTGATAGAGTGCGGCGTATCACTGAGATCGTTTTGCCTACCTATATCTAGCTGGGTAAAACCCGGAGTAATATTGAAAGCAACTTGACTTTTCTGAATTTCTAATATTTACTAGTCTAGCCAAACGTCTTTGTCCTCGAAATGAATATTAGCACTTGGCACATCTAAAATGGCCGAAGAAGCAGAATGCAGCCAGGCTACGATCATAAATATTCGCGCAAACTTGCGCCAATTTGGAAGTGTGCACGCACCCCCAACACGAATAGGGCGGAAACGGACTGTAACACCACTTATGATCGAAGCCCTCTGCGAATACCTGTCTGAAAAGCCCGGTTTATACCTCGATGAGATGGCTGTTTTCCTCTGGGATGAATTCCGCACCCTAGTTACAACCTCTAGTATCAGACGAGCCCTTGTTGCCAAAGGTTGGTCTAAAAAGAGCACTCGACAGCAAGCGAGGGAGCGAAATACCGATTTGCGAGAATGGTATCTGTATAATTTATCAAATTTTCAGTCGTATTAGTTAGTTTATGTAGATGAATCCGGATGTGATAAAAGGGTTGGGTTTAGGCGCATAGGCTGGTCACCACTTGTCCCCTATGCAAGTATCACAATTTCACCGCGACCAGCGATATTAGATACTACCTACGTATGCCTAGGATGGAATCGTTTTCTCGTGTGACTTTCGTGGGTCTTTCGTGGGTCTATAGATGCCACCGTGTTCGAGGACTTTATAGCGCAGCTTCTTTAGCACTACGGAAGATGGCCCGAACCTAAATCCGTTCTGGTCTTAGACAACGCCTCGTTTCATTATTTAGAGCGGATGACGTAGATATGTGTGGATGTAGGGGTAAAATTGGTCTATCTGCCACCCTACTCGCTAGACTTAAACTCGATTGAAGAGTTTTTTCGCTGAGCTCAAAGCCTTTATTAAACGCAACTAGAGTTATTATGAAGTAGACCTAAGAATCTTCGCCCCGTTCTCCGTTAACCGATCACAAATAGTCAAACTCAATTCTCTCAGCCCAGAGGTATTTTCTTTTGCCGTACCCCCTACTATCTCGCAAATATAGAACCATCCACAATTAGGTGTCTGCTCTTCGTATTCACAAATCAAATTGGTCTGAACGACCCTCAATTTTAGTCGCCGAATGGAACGCCTTTGCCATTCTCGTAAATTGCGAAGGAATTTTCGACAATAATGGGGTCCCATCCCACCCCATGTATGGAAGTCGAACGTGTGGAGTCGAAATGTAAGAGCACGAGCCTCAGCATATATTTGGCGATTCACAAGGAGAAAAGATATTGCAATTTGGTGTTTATGGATATTGAAGGTATTTGAACAGCGGCATGAGCATGCGCCAAATACGAGAGAGTATAATTTCAGACGTAGCTCGATCGGAAGGAGAAGTAACATTTTTTGCGATGGCTTTTGCAAGTTTGATAGGTGTTCTTGTATATAAGAAATTTTCGCAAATTGTGATTTGAGTGAGACTCTTATAGACAATGGTTTTGGCCGTCGTATGATTTTAGTACCAAACGTTCAAATAAGATGTTTCAAAAGAAGTTGTTTGGTTCCAAAAGGTGCGAATTGGCGGGAGCAATTAATACCTACTCAAAATCTTGATACTACAAACAGGCATTTTCCATCCGTTGCTATCAAATTCGCCAATCATTGCGGCGGAAAAACGCGAATGCTTCGAAAAAAACGAATGCTTCGCCAAAAGGTATTACCAATTATTATGACATCCGTTTACTCCTTAGTTATAAGCAACTAGTGTTAATAATCGTAAATCTCATTACTCTCTTGCTTTCAAACCGAACAATCAGAAGTTTTACTGAAGGAACGCTCCCACGCTATTGGTTTCTTCTAGCAACAGCTGTTGTGCCTAGAACCAATGGACGGTGCTAGTTACCAATCGGAGTTACTACATATCTTGCGAAATAATTGGCTATAATAGAAGCAATACAGTTAAGACCCACAGTAAAGTGGTGAATATGTCGTCACGCTACCAGCAAAAGACGGAGGAAAAATTGGGTACCATCATAATTACTACTTCTTACTCTTATTGGCTACTTATATAGCAATAAAGATATTAATGTTCCTCCCTAATCACACTTCCAATCATATAAATAAAGGTACAATAATATACGAAATTGTTCAACAAACAATACTCCGTTTGCCACAATACCACCACAGAGTCCGATAAACCTCTTTTACAATGGGATCTGTGCTTATTCCCCCGTCTCAGACAATCTCTCCAGCTATCTTCTACTGGGGCACACCAGTGGTTTTGATTACCACCGAAAATGAAGACGGAACATTCAACATCGCGCCCATGTCCTCGGCATGGTGGCTCGGAAATCGATGCATGCTTGGATTAGGAGCAATTTCGCAAACTACGATCAATCTGATTCGAACAAAACAATGTGTTCTCAATCTTGCGTCAAACGGCATGGAAGAAGCCGTTAATGCTCTTGCGAAAACAACCGGCGCGGCAGGAGTTACAACTGCCGCTGAAGACACTGGTTATCTGTACTTCAAACGCATGAATGGATACAAATTTGTGCACGATAAATTTGGACATTCCGGACTGACACCCACTCCATCCGATCTGATTCGACCTGCGCGCATTGCCGAATGCCCAGCTCAGATGGAGGCCGAGCTGAAGGGTGTATATGAGATGATGCAAGACGCAGATACGAAAGGACTTATCGCACTGGAAGTCAAGGTTGTTCGGACGCATGTTCACGACGACATCCGAATGACTGGACATGCAAATCGGATCGATCCCGATAAATGGCATCCGTTAATTATGAGTTTTCAGGAACTATACGGACTGGCTCCTAAAAAGGCTTCTCATTCAAGGCTTGCGCAAATCAATGAAGAAGGATATAGGCCATTCTCGAATCGGGTGGAGGAAGTGGAAAATGCGAAACAGGAATCTTGAAGTGTAACTGAAAAAGGGAAAGATTGTTTCTAAGAATGAATGAAAAGACTTAGAGTCACCTACGAAAGGCATGCGTAAACCAAATATTAACGTTGGGTCGCAAAATATTAGATCCATTTAAAGACTTATTCTAGATGAAGCTGTGAACTCTTCGCTATTCCCTGCATCTTGCGTAAACTAAATTATTATCCCTTCTTGGGGAGTGTTTTCTCCACGTCGATTCCTTCCAGTTAAAATTACGCTTTCAAATCTCCGCAACAGCTACTGCATTAGAGGTAGCAGTAGCTTCACGTAGAGCGGCATTTGCCGTAGTCAGGTTGTTCCCAAAGTACTCTACGCCGGCTAGGACTAGTATGAGGGGGTGTCGTAGGTCGGAGGGGTGATATAAGTCTTGTTGCAATTGGATCTCATTCCTACTCATCATTTCCACTTGCTCTCTATTATATCATCGATTTCCTTGCCTAGTTGAAATACTGATACAAACTACAGTATACTAAGTCTTCCTGGTTTTATATCTGAAAAAACTTGACCGGATATCAATCAATCTGTTATAACCAAAAACCACTGCGCTGCCACATTCTTCTGACTTCCACTCGACAAAAATAGCCTCCAAATCCATGGGAGTACACCACACATGTCTCAGGTTTATTGGGTCTGATACTGTTCCAAGCAACCAAGCAAAACATTTGCACCTCAGTCCCAATACTTGACTTCCAATACCTCAAACGCAATTGTCAATACCTACGACTTCATCTAAACAAGACGCGTGGGCCTGGCACCAGGGCTACCAGAGGCACCAGGAGGAGGACCACCAGATCCGCCACCAGCTCCAGAATTGGCATTTGCAACTCCACCATCCTCAGTGTTATAAGCTGCGGGAGTGACATCTCTGTCCTTGGTAGGATCAATACCAACAGAGATCCAAGCGAAGATCCCGTCTGAGACGTCATCGCCGAGATAAACGTATTCCATAAATGGGTCGATGGTTTCGGCTTCTCCGGCGAGGATGCCGTCTTCGGCGTTGGTTGTTAGTTGTTGTGTGTTTGTTGAGTATGGTGTGGTTTTCTCGACGGCTGTGATTAGGTCCTGATCGAAGAAGGTTTGTCCGACATATGACGAGTGCGTGGTATATAGACCGGAGATTGTGCCGTTGGCGAGGACTTCGGTTTCGTTGGTTGGATGGGTGAGAACTTTTAGGGTAAGTTAGTTTTTTGACATTTGAACAAGCGTAGACCGATTTGTAAAGGGTGGTGTGAAGATGTTATGGCTGGGTAACATACTGTGAATGTGAGCCGTCCGGCCGGTGTAGTGACCAGGAAAGATGGATTCAAAGTGGACAACACCATCTTCGTCACTCGCCTGGATACCTCGCAGCCAGGTAGTGTTGATATTGTCCTCATCAGAAGAGTCACCGTTTCCTCCGGCAATGATGCCTGAGTAGACGCCCTGTCACCACCATCGTTAGTTCACTCCTCGGTCATAATTTAAGCATACATAGAAATGCAATTAGAGAGGTAATAAACTCACAGTCGCATTGCAATGCCACAAATCCATGTAGATATCCGGAAGTGGATCACAAGTGTTGGTGTCAATCAGCTGGATGTCCAAGTAAAGAGGAACACCCGCCTGAGACTCCACGATATCCTCACGAACCAGTTCGCCCGAGACATCTGTGTTACATCAGTAAAATGCAACGATATTAAGTGGTATTGGATTGGCTAACAGTAGGGTCCCTGAGTGACATCAGGAGCAAGAATGCAGGTTGCTCCAGATCCGAACAAAACGCTCGGGTCGGTGGAGAGATCCACGCCGGTAAGGTTGGAGTGATGCGAGATATTCAGATCATCAGTGAGGCTACGCGCCTTGAGGTAATAGCCAGCTACGAACACCGTTAGAGTTTGCTAATGGATGCTACAGGCCTTGCCTTAAGGACATACCAGAATCAATGCCACGGCGACGGCGCAGATGCTTGACGGCCGTCTCGCGGCGCGCGACGCTCCGTCTCTCATGGCCCCTAGATTTCAGCTTAGAGGCACACTGGGAGAGACTGCGTGAGTGAATGGGAGCGTTCTTGAGGAACGCAGCCCGCTCAGCAGCTTCGGCTTTGACATCATGGCCTGGATGAGCGGAAACAAGGCCGGTCAAGCCAATCAGGCCAACGGAGATAATGGATGCAAGGTACACCATGATTGACGTTCAAATTGAGAATGAGGATCAAAGAGAAAGCTTACTCTGGAATGTGATTTGATTGAAGATGGTATCGCTTGCAGGTTCTTCAGCGGTCTTTTATATCTTTCTTGCGACTTGATGCCGCACATTCAAAGACGGAGTGCAACTCCATTGAGAATAGCCTCGGACGACACAATCTCCTTCTTTCATGAAGCTGACGACGAAGATTGGGGCCCCCATGTCTGCTTCGACAAATAGGACACGGCGCATTTCTCAGAAGGACGCCGCTGCAAAACTGGCGTCGGAGCTCCATAGTGCATTAATGAAGGTGAGGCAGCCTTATGTCAAGGATTGTGAAATTGGTTGCGGTTGATTGGATTGCAATGGCCGAAGAAGAAGGTTACAAAACGGCAATCCGAGCAAACAGATGCTCAACCTGGTCAATCATCCTTCACTAACGCCGGCCAAGAAAAACTGAACCCTTAGCCCTTGGTGAGTCAGCGGAGAAGCAGGGAGCAATGCCGGATATTGCAGTCGCAGAATAGGACGTTGAGCGGTTTGGCCATCACCTTGGAAGGTGTTCCAAATGTTCGACGTTGGTGACAGGACTCCACGTAAGGAATTCCCCATAGTTCGATTGTTGGTGTTTTGTTTTGCAATGTTAAGTCAGTCTTCATCCAGCCGTGCCAATTCATAGAAAATGGCAGTTATAGACATCAAAGACACAATCTTTCTGTTCGCATTGACGAAGATCCTCGGTAGTGCGTCGGTGATCCGTTCCTGACTCCTCACGCATCAGCTTCGATGTCAAACATGACAGACATGTTCCCTGTTGATAGACCAATCAATTACTTTACATAAGTGATATAAATGCAGAACAAGACAGGGTATGCCCTTAGGGGTCATAGTTTTAACATGGATGGTAAGCGAACTTTATCTTGGCACCCCCTTCCTGCGACAGTAGGGGGGCGGGCTATGTAGAAACTGCTGGTGTTTCGCCAAGACACAGAAATTACACAATCCTTGGCAATTGCTTGCAAAGGTCTTGCAGTTCCACTTGCTGCAGTATGTTGCATTTGTCCAGCGTGGCTGAGGTTGGTGGTGTTACCAGCCGGTGTGGCGTCAAAGATTTATCATTAACTACAAGGCTTTACCAGAGAAGAGTTATATCACGATAATAATTAGTCGATTATAATACATGCAGCTTCGTGGATATTTAAACAATGACACATCAAACGTCAACGCATGGTAGAGACAGTAAGAGGCTGAGCCGCTATGGCAAGCATAGAGTAAAACTCAAAAGGGTAAATCAAAAAGATCACCATATCAGAGCCAGTCTGACAGCTTAAACCTCCTGCTGGGTGACAGTAGGTCCCACAGTGGTCTTCTCGTCGACGAGGCCGATCTCGGCGGTGAAGGTGGAGTGAGGCTTCCACTTGGCGGAGGTGCGGGGGGTGGTCTCCTCCATCATCTTGTCGACCTGCTCTAGGGTGAGACCCTTGGTTTCGGGGATCAGGAAGTAGGTGTAGATGAAGGCGCAGGTGCAGAGGGAGCCCCAGAGGAAGAACACCTTAGGTCCAAGGTTACCCTTGTCGGAATCAACCATGTAGGGGGTGATGACGGCGATGATCTGTTGAGAAGGTTAGTGTATCTTTCGTGTTTGAGGGATGGGGGGATGCTTACGCAGTTCCAGAGCCAGTTAGAGGAGGTCGAGAGGGCAACACCACGGGAACGGATTGGCAGGGGGTAGATTTCACCGATCACAACCCAGGCACCAGGACCCCAGGTGGTGGCGAAGAAGAAGATGTAGATGCAGATGAAGGCGATCATGGAACTGATAGCCTTGGGGTTGTGGCCGTCAGTGACACCAATAATGGCGACAATGAACTGACAGACGACCATGCCCAGGGCACCCCACAGGAGGAGGGGGCGACGGCCAAACTTCTCAATGGCGTAGAAGGAGAGGGGAGTGGAGACGACGTTGACAATGGTGGTGATCATGCTCAGCAGGAAAGGATCCTGGATTGTGCCAAGCTGCTGGAAGAAGGTGGTTCCGAAATAGAAGACGAAGTTGACACCAGTCCACTGCTGCATCATCTGCAGGGAGGTACCGAGAATGGTGCGGCGCAGGTTGCTGTTGGGCTCCCAGAGACTGCCGCGGAAGCAGTTGAACCAGGTGGCGAAGTATCCACCCTGGGGGATGTGCAGCAGCTCATACTGGTTGTTGGCGTCGATCTCATCCAGCTCCAGGGTAACGAACTCGGAGTCAGCAGGTTGGCCACGGATACGGGCAAGCACATCACGGGCCTTCTCCTTCTGGCCCTTGCGGATGAAGTAACGAGGAGACTCAGGAAGGAGGAACAGACCGATGGCCAAGATGACAGCCCAGAGCATCTGGAGGGCAATGGGAATGCGGTAGGCACCGCTATCAGTGCGGTTCTGAGTGCCATAGTCGACGCAGGAGGCCAGCATGAGACCAATGGTGATGCAGAACTGGTAGCCGGAAACGATGGCACCACGGACCTTGCGCGGGGCAATCTCCGACATGTAGAGAACAATAATGGCAGAGACGAAACCGATACCGAATCCAGCAATCAGACGACCGGCAACGAGCAGACCCAGGCTGCTAGCAGCAGTCTGCAGAACGACACCAATGATGAAAATGCCACATCCGGAGATGATGGTAGTCCGACGACCAAACCAATCAGCCAGATCACCAGCAATCAAAGCACCAAAGAATGTTCCAGCAGATAGAATAGAGACAATGAGCGATTTCCTTGAGGCGGGGATAACGAAAAGATCCGAGGGAGTAGTAGCGGGGTCCTATTCAT